CCCCCCCCCCCGACACCGCGCACTCACGCCCCAGCCTGGCCCAGATGTACTCCATGGAGCGCAAGATGCTCTCGTACCTGTCCTCGGTGGGGTACTACTCGGCGCAGATTCCCCGGCTCGAGGAAGACCGCCGGCGGCCCTTCTACTTCCCCCCGGTGGCCGGGGTCAATGTGTCCAACATCTACGACACCGGCGGGTCCTACATCCCGGAGATGTCGGACGAGGACACCGACAACGAGTACGAGTACTACCTGAGCAGCGACAGCGAGGCCGGCGAGGACGACCCGGAGGACAGCGAGCCGCGCGTGCTCGACACCCCGGAGGCCCGGGCCGTTCGCGAGGCCGAGCTTCGCCAGCGCCTGCGCGACCGCGAATACAACCTCCCCGTGTGGGAGGGCGGCAAGACCCAGGACCAGCTGGTGGATCTGGCGGCGCTGGACTCGCTGACCCTGCGGATGTTGAATCTGACCTCCAGCCGGGGGCGGAAATCACGCCGCCTGGCCCCGTCCAACCCCATCCCCGTGAGTGTCCGGTGATACCCCTACCCCCCTGCACGCGCGCCCCCCATTAATAGACCCTGCCCTGTGGCGCCTGGCGCACGTGTGCGTGTGCGTGTCCCCGTCCGCGCCTGTCCGGGCGTGTTTGCGGTGTGCTCTGTGCGCGCGCGCCCAGGACCCTAATTTGTGGGTGCATTCCATTGCCGGCCGGTGGGAATTCCTGGGCTGGGTACATGGCGGCCGGGCGCCGGGGGAGGGCCGCGGGCGCCCTGGCTAGGCGCCCGGGTTTCCTTTTCTCCCGGCCATGTCCCCCCGCCCGCAGGGGGGTCGCCGGGAGCGCCCGCAGACGGCGTCAGGCCTGGGGATTCTACCGGCAAGAAGGGGGGGCGCGCGCGGCGCACATGCGCGCGCATCGTTGGCGCCGGTCCCCGCCGAGTCCGTGCGGTGGGGCAATGTTTGGTGTTGTCTTGTGGGGAGCCCCGGCCGGGGGCGGGTTGGGAGGCGGCCCGTTGAACCGCGTCTCCGGGCACATGTCACCGGGGGTCGGGCTGCCGCCCACAATCGGCGCTACGCCGCCCCCGGCCGGCTCCGGCAGCGAACAGATGCATCGTCGCCGCTCGCGTTGGGGCGCCCCCTTCCTGGAAGGGGAGGGGTGCCGGGAGATCCGCCCCTCGCGAGCCCCTGGCCCTGGAGGCGGTGCTGGCGGCGGGGGCGGCTGCGGCGGGGGCGGCGGCGGGGGCGGCGGCGGGGGCGGCGACGGGGGCGGCTACCTCCGCCG